AAATTCTTTTTGCTTTAATGTTTATGAATGATTTGATAGGGCTAAAAAAATTTTTTTTGTTTGTTTAATATTCAAACAAATTCAAACTCTTTTTGTTTATTATATTAACATAATCTGAATATTAAATATTCGGCTTGACTCACTCATAAAATGCTCCATGTACTTGTCTTGAAAAACAAAAAAGATGATATTGCCATTTAGGTGAATATTTGCCAAATCAAAATTTTTCTATGCTGGCCGTAAGTGAAAGATGAGAAACTAAGCAAAACCTTGATTCAACTTCCGTTTCAATTTACTGTTATTCCAAGCTTAGGAGGGGTTTCAATGTACTTTTATCCTGAGGGCACTGGATAATGCTAAGAATGGGTTGGATAACACCCTATGATCAAAGTACGTAGAGCTCGTTGAGTAAAGGAGGGATAGGTTGGATGGTACACATAAGTAAGGAACTTGGCATTTTGATTTCTGAGATACCTTATATTTAGTGCTAATCAATTTGACACCACTTATTCAAGATGATGGCATCGGATATCTTTGCCTTTTCAAGAAGTTCTCACTTCTTAAAACTAATAAAAAGAATCAAGGGTATGGACTTGTTCAATACATTACAGCAAATGTTTCAAGTTAGCTAAATATTTATCTTTGTCTTAACCTCTGTCTAACATAATTTTTTTTGCTACTTAGCCCTATATTAATTGGCCCAAAACTCAACTAAAGAACCTTACAGACTCATATATAATGTTGGCTTTCCCACCTTATAGAAAAATTTTCCGCACGCATGTTTAATGTTGGCTTTCCCCTAAATTAAAGACAGAACCATAGGACAAACAAATTCAATCCCTAATCTAACAATTATTTCCATGCTCTATAGTCATGGGTTTGAATATCACGAGGTATTGAACTATTAAACCCTCAAACGGATTTAAGGACCAACTTATTACTAATTAACAATGGCTTCATGTTTCTCACACTGATAGTATAACGAATTCTTTAGGGCAAATTCCACTTTACCCCTTGTGATTTAGCGTTTTTAACATAACTCCCTTATAATTTCAAAAGCTATACATAACCCCCTTGTGGTTTAGATTAAAGTGTCAAAGTGACGGGAATGATCATTCATAACGGCGTCATGTAAAATGTCAAAATTACCCTTATGTAAAGTTGAAATTTATGTATTAACTAAGGGGGGTTATGTGTATATTTTGAATATCATAAGGGGGTTATATGATTGTAGACAAAGAAAATTTATTTAATTTATTTAGTCAAGATTTATTTAAATTAAATTGATCTTGATTAAATTAAGTTAAATTGTAGAAGTTCATTATGTTTTGAACTTGCAAATTGGGCCAATATTATATGGGATATTAAATCAAATTAAATTTATAATGCCCATTTAAGTGGACGTGAATTAATTGATTTATTAATTCACAATGGACTATTTGGGTTGGCCCATTATTTAAGCCCAAGTTAAATGGATTTCTTGAGTAACAAGTAATCCAAAATACAGGAAGATTCTGAGGGTTTTCTTGAAGACTTAGCCTACATATTTTGGCTATAAATAAAGGTCTTCCCTCAAGGCAAAGACACGAGAAAAATCCCTAACTTTCAGAGAAACTCTGTCAAATTTTCTCAAGAGCTTTCTTCCTCAAATCCAAGTCCAAATCAAGTCAAACAAATCCTCCTGCTATCGGTGTTGAAGACTTGAAGTTCCAAGTGTTTGGCACCATCATCAAATCAATCGTTTTCTACGCCGAAATTGTAGAAAACACCCTTTCGATTGGAGAACAAGTCTTTTCGACCCTTCAATTGAAGCTATTCGAAGAAAAGAATCAGGGGATTAATTTCTTTGGTTCAAGAACTTTCAGATATTGTAATCCGCTTATTATTTAATTTAATAAATTTGATATTTGTGCAAGTTTTCTTGTCTTTTATTTTAGGCAACAAAATTTGTGCTTACAATGATAAAGTATTAAACCATAAAGGGGTTATATGGTAAAATATAAAAATCATACGGGGTTAATGTGCCATGTATTTATAAGGGTAATTTCGACATTTCTAGAAGTTCCGTTGCGAGTGACTATTTCCGTTACTTTGATACTTTAATCTAAACCATGAGGGGGTTATGTATAGTTTTTGAAACTATAGGAGGTGATGTAAAAAAAGGGTAAACCACAGGGGGGTAAAATGTAATTTATCCAATTCTTTATATTAGCAGATCCTTGATGCATGAAAATTTAATATGTGGAAACAAATTATATTATCACCCATGCTATACACTTGTGTAAAGACAGCACCACACCCACAACGGATCTTCTGTCTCATACCCTGTGCCACTCCCTGTCTCAATTTTTATTATATTGTTATTTCTCCTACATAAATATCATATTTTAGTTCTTTTTTGTTTCCTAAAGATCCAATAACTATTAATTGAGTAATACACAAAATTTGACTTGAGCATTTGCATCAATCTTTCATTTCTTAATGTATGACATTTGCAGCAATGTATGACATTTAACTGTATGTTATGCTAATATTGTAAGAAAGATTAATCCAAAAAAAATATGGAAGAATACATACTAACTTACCAAAATAGTCCAATGGTGATTCTTGATTCCCATAATAAAGTAAAGGTTTTCTGCATTTAATTCAACATAACCATCCTGCTCCTTTTCTACCATTTCTTCTTGACTTTCAATTTCACGAAATGCCTTGCCAAAACCTGTTTAATTAGCTTCGAAATGTTACACGTGATGAAATTCAGAATTGTCTAATATAAGAGTCAGATAGAAACTAAGAGAGTCTAAATCACCTGAATTTCTTGATTTCTTCATCTTCCTTGATTTATTAGAATGCAAATCAACCCGAAGGTTACAATAATTTCTTGGTCTAGAAGGATGAACTTTTGACGTGCTAAAATCATCAAACTCATTTTCATCACTATCACCAAGGCTATCATCATCAAAGCTATCACTAGAACTATTATAGGTGTAGCTACTGGATGGTTTGTAAACCTTAAGCTTTTTTTTGGCAACAATCAGCACCACATGGTTTAACTTCGAAGGTAGTTGTATCAATAAAATTAAATACTAGGTAATTTCCAAGCTTTAACTCATGATCTTGAATAAATTTTGGCCACGAACGCCTGCAAATATAGTAGTATTGACCTTTCTTTCGAATTCTCACTGATCATGATTTTTATAGTGATTTTTTTCCTCAGATATGATTTTACATTTTGGTGAAAACTTTTCTTGAAGTCCCTCACAAAAGCTGCGGGAATTAGCTACAAAGTATATAAAGAAATGAAATGTAAATTTGTTCATTAACGGAACATTAATCATGAGTGACCTTTCTTTGTCTCTTCGGTATTTAATTAAGTTGACTACATACATTGATTTGAGGATAACCAATGAATCGCCAATTAGTTCTTGTTCACCTCTCCTCTAATTATTCTCACTACTTTTTTGTTCCCGTTCAAGATCCATCCATTGGAAACATGCATCCATTGGACTATGAATATTATTCGAACTTGCAGATTTGAAACTTGTGAACTTTTCAATTTTTGTTGATTTTTCAGCCTGAAATAAAATTCACTGAATTTTCTATATTTATCCGTTCTTATTAGTGCAATTTTTAAAATCAATGTAATGATTATAGGGATAATTTTACAATCCTCCCCTGAGGTCTATGATGATTGCAAGAAGTACCCTCTAGGTTTAAGAAATTGCATAAACCTCCCTTAAAAATTAGTTCAGGGCTCACTTTACTTATGTAACCAAAATATCTCCGTTGATAATCCTATATTGCCCTTATGCAATTTTTCTCCAAAGAAATAAAATTCCTTTGTAATTTAAACTTAATATATTGCAACATACTTTAACAAAACCAAGCATCAAATTCGTTTCTCTTCCTTCAAATGAAAAAAAAATTCACATGGACAAATGAAAAAAAAAAATTAGATACCAATTGAGTAACCTATTTTTGTAGGAATCTAGAATTTTTTTCAAATTATTACAATATAAAGTAAAATTGAACTGAAATACTTTGGGTGGTTAAGACAAGAAAGAACCTATTAATCTTGCTCTTCTTTTGAAGGAAGAGATTATTTGTTAACTTATAGTTTTAAATGTCCATTACTACACTTCATGGAGATGTTAAATTGAGTAGATATTGAAGGATATTTTTGTCATTTTATACCATAATGGGAGGTATGTGTAATTTTTTAAACATGAAGGATAATGTCTGCAATTGTCATAAACCTCAAGTGAGGTTTGTGAAATTATCCCATGATTAAATCATGTGTCTGGAAAGAAAAAAAAAGGATCCATCCATCAAGAACTACTTGATAATTTAGATGTAGAACTTACGAAAGTTAAATACAATTGTGTATTTAATTCAAATATGACCCCTGTGATTCATGAATCAAATTCTGTTGGTTTACCACTAGTTCATAAGCTTTAATAATTAGTATACATGGTAATGAATGCATAAATATTAGAGACCATACAGCCAAAAAAAATACATGAATTATGGGCAATATTGATAATTGGGCCAATACTTTAATAAAGGAACTGAAATTGGGAAACATAGAGGAAAAAAAAAAGCGGATTTGTATAGAAAAGATACAACATATTTTCCTTTTGTTCATATGAAATTATTAGTGAATGTTGATCATCCTTGTGGACTAAATATAAAGAGTAAATTCTGTAGGGTACCTTGTCTAACCACAAACTACATGCCATTGCAAAAGAAAGATTTTCAATTAATCAAAATTCACCTAAAATAGAGAGAAGAATAAGAAAAGGGAAAAAATTATAAAAACGCTTCAAACAGGAAGATATTTTCGTTTCAATTCAGCCAACAGGAGTAGTACTTCAATTCAAAGGAGTCTATCCCAAATCATCTTCCTTTGGGAGATAAGTAAAAAGTTACTTCTCTTTTCATTTTCTTTGTTATTCTCTTTTTTTTTTTTTTTCTGCTGTTACAAAAGTTCAATTAAAGCAAAATACCGTGCAATGATGCAAAGTCCAATCCAAAATCTCATAGTACAGTAGATTAGCACATAGAAACATCCTTTGTATTAAGGAGCACCTTTCAACAGCTCATGCCCATTCTTCCTTGCAGATCCTGAAATGTAAGACCATTCAAGTCAATTTGTATGTACTACAAATTGAATGTTGAAATTACTTGTATAATTTTGCGCAAACATTCATCTAATAACTTGTATTTTTCTAACAAAACTGAATTTCAAGAAACACAAATTTGAAATGAAAAAAAAAACTTAACTTGTTTGAAGTCCTCTTGATTTGAATGTGGAATAAATCTCCAAAACGCTTAAGTAAGGTGAACTGGCAAATTTCTCCTATCTCCAATTTGTATGCTTTGCGAAATTCAGTCCATCCTTTTCCAATTTCACTCCTCTCAGCGATCTTTACCGGCCACTCCCTCTGGTCTTCACCGTGAAGGACCGCCTCTTTCTCCTTCTCTAGTTTTGTTGCCCTGGAAAATGCTCTTGGAATATTCTGAAAATAAGATACACCAAGCATAAATTTGATTTCACCAGCTTTCTTGAACTTTGTAGGTATTTATTTTCCTTGCTAAGAAATCCTTCGAACTGTTGAGAAGCCAAGAATAAACATAAAAAGAAATAAAGCAAACGCAATTTATACATTATGGGGGAAAATTTGTTGTTTACTCACCAATCTGTGCATATGATGCCGCTTCAGTCTCAAAATAAAATAGGGATTCTCCGCATTTAAATGAAAATAACCATCCCTCTCGTTTGTTTCTACATCTTCTCCTTCTTCACTTTCAATTTCAAGAACTTGCTTCCCAACACCTTTCCAATTATTTGCATAAGAAAAATGAGACGTGATTAAAATTATCTAACATAATCTACCTTACACAGATCAAGAGAGATTATATTTAATCCATCTCACCAGACTTTCTTGTTTTCCTCAACTTCTTGAATTTATTAGAACGAAAATTATCACGATCAATCTGATACTTAGTGTAAACCTTTTTTTTAGCAGGATGAACTTTTGATGGCCTTATTCCATCATCTCTGTAAAATTCAGTTTCATCACTATCATCAAAGCTTTCATCAGAGCCATCATCAGATTCATCATCACTGGAGCTACTGGATGAGTTGTATACATTAAATTTTTTTGGGCAACAATCGGCACCATATGGCTTTACTCTAAATGTTGTTTTGCCTATCAGATGAAATAACAGGTAATCTCCAAGCTTCAAATGATGATCTTTAACAAATTTTGGCCACGAATGTCTGCAAATATAATAGTAGCGACCTTTCTTTCGAATTCTTACTGGCCATGAATTTCGAACTGAGTTCTTTGCCTCGGATTCGATTGTGCATCTTGAGGGAAGCTTTTCCTTGAAATTCCTCACAAAAGAGCAGGGAATCCGCTACAAAAATGTCAAGGAAAAAAACAATAAATATAAAAATTAATCTTGACAATAACTGAAGAAGATTAATGGAAAATGCATACAGTAGCAATTGATATGGGACTTACAATTTCTCTCGTGAAATCATCTTCCATCAACAGCTTAATAAAGGACGGATTAAAGTTGTAATTTTGTTCCATTTTGGAACTTGGCTTGCAGAGGAAAACAAGAACGATGAGCTCTTCGGGGTTGAGGAAAGAAGGAAAGAGAAGTAACTATAGACTTTAAGGTTGGTGCCAGTTCAAATTACACGGCTTTTTGTTTGCCTTTTGTTCGTATTTTGTACATACATTAAATTCTGTAGACTTTTAGACTACCAGACACTCTTTTTATAGTCATCATGTTAGTCACGATTCATGAGTGTCACCATTATTACTTCCATATTAAATTAACTCCATTTAGTACATTGAATAGAGAGAAATAAACGTACAACCATGCAGTGAATTGCATCTTTTGTTCTTCATTAGTTCTAATTAATCACCTTTCTTCATGGCAACCCTTGATTAACGAGGGATTTGAGCTCCCATCAATCGAGATAACTAGTTAATACTATAGGTTCGAAATTTTCAAATGTGAACATAATTACATGGAAGTCTAAAGACCGAATTAGATTAATTAAATGTTGTTCTTGAATAGTGAATTTAAGATATGTGAGTCAGACTAAAGTAGTATCTTATCCCTGTCATGATTACATGAGTTGGAAGCAAGACCTATGGTTGGTCCAATAAGTTGGGGCTAAAAATGTGCATACAAGAAACAGTATACAATTATATCTGTCTTTTGTTTTTGTTCATATACATCGTTAGTGAATGCGGACATTTCTCGTGGTAGGTGTATACAAACATCATTATCTATTGTAACCAATTGTGCTAATCCAAACAAAATAGATGAAAATCACTTTCTTCTATTTGCCTTTCTTTTCTTTTCCATTGGTATCATTTCCTTTCCTTTCCCTTCTTTTACTTCAATCCAAACGATGCCTAAGTCTAGTTTCTGAATCTCTGAGAATCGAGATCATAGAAGTTTTATATCTCAAGATATGGCAATGTTAGTTAGGATTGCCTAACCTGGAATTTAACAATGGAGTTTTGTGTAACACCGTAATCTTTTAGTACATTTTATATCCTTTAGGATAGCAGTCTGAAAACATTTCCTTCACAAGAGCTTTGGACCATTTAATGACGTTCCAACACCACCAATTCCACAATTGATTGAATCGTTCCATATCATAGCTGAAATAGAACATTTATAACTAGTCCTAGAAAACTCAGAATCATGTGCCATTTCTTATGCACAAAACTGTAGTCATAGAGCCTTAAATCTAGATAAACATTTTAGTCTAGTTCTTATGTACTGAACCCAACAAACCTTTAGAGTTGGCAAGAAATCAAACCTAGAAAGAAGCGTTGAAGGAGATGTTAGTTTGTTGTCAATTTGGCATTAGATGTAATATAACTGTTAGAACTGACTCTATAATTCAATATTTTGCCAATACATACTAGCCTGAAACCTAAGTGGGAGATCTAAAAATGAAAATAGTGTCGTGAAAAAAGATAATAGTTTAGTGCCCATCTAGATATATGCCCCTTTTTCTGTTTTATTCCATTTATTTGTTAACCTTAGGTTGTGGCTGGGGAGAGGAGGTGAGTAGAAAACACAACTAATTCCAGCAGCTGGACCTATAAAATGTTAAATGGCTTTACGGATGAATTATGTTCAATTGCCAACTCCAACTTCGTAATTCGGTGTGGAAAGAGTCGCAACAACGGCTCAAGCTTCCACTTTGACCAACGCACTTAACCCAACATTATGTTTAAAGAACCCAATTAATGAAGTTCTGAAATAAATTTTAAACATCTTAACCAAAATTCTCCAAAATTAATATATGCACACAATCCTCCAATGTAGATAATTGGGAAATTTAGAGTTTAAAATATTGGGATCGTTATATTTGTCACAGTAAATTAACCTGTTTCATTTGTTTCCTTTGACTTTTTTGTTTATGTTTTTTTTTCTTTTCATATTACTAATTTTGATTTACTGCCTCTCCCTTTTACACTTTACGTTTTATTCTGATGGCTTTTCTTTGACTTTTTATGCAATGTAAGTAATTTTATTTGATTTGGTGGTACACTAGAATGGCCAGAATGAAATGTCTTATTACCCAAAGAAAATCTAAAACGTAGCTTAGGACTTGCAGGATTGTTTTCAAGTGATTCTAATTTTGTGAAAGCTGATTTTGTGAAATTGATTTTTAAAAGATTTTGTAGAGTAACTCTTGTGTTCTAGTTTATAGTTAATAAAGCTCCTTTGGTAATACTTAAGTGCTCTTCAAAATGTTGAAAAGCTAATCTCAACAAAAAGATAACCAAATTGCCATTATGTGAGACATAAAAAACTTTTGTACAACTGACATGGTGTGTTAACGTAATTAATTATTTTTCTTATGAAGATTAAATGTTAAATAAGAAAAAGAAGAAGGGAAAAACGGATGAATCTAAAAGTGGAATAACGAGTAAGAAGAAATGGAGAGAGATGTGTGGCAAAAATATTTACTTAATCTTTATGTAGTTTAGGAATTATATTTTTGAAGGATTTTTTTTTTGCATATAAAAAAAATTAGGCCATAATCTGAATCTTAAAGCAATTAAGAATTAAGACATACTTTTAACTTTTGGGGCCCAAAATATCTAAAATCAAGTTTCAAAATCAGTTTTCATAAATCCAAAATTAAAATCAGATTTAACAAATCAGTTGAGAACATGCCCTTCATGTTTTTTATGTTGCTTTATTTATTTGTGCTATGCTATTTTTGTTAAATTGCAAATTTATTTGGTTAGATAATATAATCATGTACGAAAATCCATGTTAAGTTGAATAATGAGTTAATTAATGAGTTAGTTCAACTAGTGGTCACATTTTTCTCAGTGTGAAACTTAAGGATAGCCACTCACTTCCCAAATCAATAAATGATCCAAAGTTGTTCAAAAAGCACAATACACAAGTAATTTTTTAAAAAAACTAATACTCCATCCGTCCCACTTTAATAATCTTGTTTTCCTTTTCCATTTGTCTCAAATTATAGTCCATTTTTCAATTGAAGAATGTAGTTGTCTTTTAATTTCTCTAAAATACCTTTATTTAATGTAAGTTGTTATTACTATAAACTATATAGATTGTTAGTATTGAATATAACCTACCTGGCTACCTTATTTAATGCATTTAGATTTTCTAAAACATATTGATATATGAAAAGCCAACTTTATTTCATGTAAGTGTATTTTAGGAAAATAGCAATCTAAATTTGTTTTTTCAACAAAGTTAACTAATTTTTCTTAAATTGTGTGAAAAAAAAAAACTAGGACTATCAAAATGGAACAGAGGGAGTACACAAGTAATCCGACCAAATTATAGACGAAAATCAACAATTACTTTTGATTTTACATGTTGAATGTTTCTAAAGAACACTAACAAATTTGAATTATCGGCAACAATTTTATAAATACTAAAAACAAATTCGCACTATATTTTAGTAGTTTGGAATCACAATGAAAATCAAATAAATAGCAACTTAAAAGATCACCATTCACTCCTTCAACTTGTTAATTTCAAATTTGAATTGAAACTTATATATCACTTGACAAAAAATCAACCTGATAAGTGACTAATTTACGTAATAATTGAATGACATTTTATGTTATTTTTAGTCACTTTGGTTATATTATTGGAAGAAAATGAATTATTTTGGCTATAATTGGTGAAAAATATTCTTAAGTGATTAAATGAGGTTTTTATCACTTTTTACTTGCATTTTGTGCATTTTGACAGCTTTGACACATTTTAGTATTTCGGCTATAAGTTGAGATACAGTGATCGGATTGAGATGATTCTTGAACCAATTTGAAGATAAGAGATAAACCTACAACCTTGGTGAAGACATCGAAATCCAGTTCTAAGGTTTTCCAGGTCAAAAAGCCGAATTACCGTAGCCAATTTCTATTGGTCGAAACTGAAATAAGGCATTGAGTAGTCAAGGGTATTTCAGTCATTTCTCAGCCTACACAAATCTAAATGAGGTGATTCTTGATGCATTGGAAAGCTAACTCAAATAGCTACAAGTTTTATGTTTTGGTGAAGAGTTAAATCAGCTTCTATCATCAAGAAAAGTTCAGTCGAATTTGAGGCAAAATCGGAGCAGCAGTGAAGTTTGAACAGAAATAGCACCAAAAGGTCACTGTAGCTATCCGGCCGAAACTTGGCCGGATTTATGGCCGGATTGTGGTCAGAAAAGGCTGCTCTCTATGCGGACAACTTGTTTTCAACTCCAAAAAGTCACAGCTAATGCTAGATATGTGAGAAACACTTTGCAGCTGTAAAAGGGAGGTGTAAACCTCATTCCTTGACCATCTTTGTCTTGAAATAGCCAAAAACTTGCAAGATTGGAAGAGAGACATACGGGAGAAGCTTGGAGTCTGCAGAAATGTAGTTCTTCCATTTTCTTAGTCTAGAATAGTTTAGCTAGTTAGTTCATCCATTCTTGTATATTGGCTAGATTAGGATGAAGATGGGGATGAAAAAGGAGGAGCTGAAGCTCAAGTAACATGATTTATCTCTTCTCCAACTCTTTATTTTTCGTATTGGAATCTTAAATATGGTTAATATACAAGTTCTGGATTTTGTGTTTATTATGTGTCTTTAAAGTTTATGCCTTGGGTTTGGTTGAACTCTCTATAATTGTTAGTGTTCATTATTTGGCTATTTGATTGCTATTATTTGAGCAAGTTATTTAGCACTTTAACTCTTGAAATCATGATTAATCTGGTACCATTAATTGTGATTATCTAAGGTGTTATTTCTACAATGAAAATTGAGATTTAACACTAGTTCAAGAAGTACTAAACATAGGAAGTACACTCACGAAAGTAGAGGTGCACCTATGTGATTTTAGGTGATTAATTTCATGTAATTTCACTGAAGAAAGGAACTTGTACCTAATTTCATAACCATGAGAATAGGTATGGATTAATTATGAGTATAATTGATTCAAGTAGAATTCATATGTATAAGGAAATTACACCATAACTAACCTAGATAGTAGTATTCAATGATCCAAATATAGCATTTGCATGAGGAGTTAGGGATACCATAACCTAAGGAGCTTTCATTTGTTATTTTGCATAAATTCAATAGG